CAAAAAAGAAAGCTCACAACCCGCGCAACGCCAAACATCTGCTAACAAACCCCTCCAGAATCGCCCAAACAGTCGGCTCCCTCGTCCTTCGAAACGGCGGCGTCGTCCGCGGCCTCGACAACTGGGGCATCTTCTCCCTTCCCAAGCCCATCTCCGTGCACCAAATGAAGCACACACACGGGCACTACTTCGTCATGCGGTACGACTCGTCAACCAAGGTCCACCAGGATGTGCGAACGACGCTGCGTCTGGAACCCCGCATGATTCGCTCGGCGCACGTGAAGCTCGGCGACGGCAAGCTAAGCACCTTGTCCGGGTTTGGGGAGCCAAAGTGGAGGACCCAAGGCAGTGAGGCGTGAAGAAGAAAAAATGTGGTGATTATAAGAATAACTGCATTACGACGCGTGGCGGATATGTAAATTGGAGCAGGCAGAGGAGCCTTCTTTGCATCTTGTTTGCTGGAAATCATGTACGATATTGGGAAGCCTGGTGAATGGCTGGCCGAAATGGCAACTTTTACAACTGAATGCAACCAACCAGGTAATATGAAGGGAGAGCATATACGGACGAATTCTAGATATGTGGCTTGTTGCTTATCTTTTTTTTTTTTTGCAACGGATAACATGTATGTGAACCAAGCATAATAGTGTATAAAATTAGAGGAACCCATAGCCTACATCATATCAGGGAAATGAGGGTCAAGTTGCTATTCATTGATTTCTTGCGTATCAATATTCATGATTTGTTCGTTACGTGTCTATCATAACTCATTTCAGTAACGCATCTCATTGCGCTGAACCGAAACGGTGCTTTCTACTAGTGATATATATATGAGGCCGCATTCTCGAGGAACCCAAGTCTCTGGGCCGCTCAGTTTTCGCCTCTTGACAGCACGGCCTCGCTTCAGAATCGAGCAAGAGTCCATCAAGGGCCAGTCGCCCATCACTGATCCGCATCAACTTCCATTGTTTCTTGCTTCCCAATACCCTTGCCACGGCACCATTCGACAAAGTCATCGATTACACTAGGCCAGGCACCATCCTCGTTCCAGAAGGACAGGCTCTCATCCGCCACCGACTTCAATGCGAATTCCAATGCCATATTCCACATGTCCTTGTTAACTGATCGAGTCCACTTTTCGTTGAGAAAGGTCTTCCACAGGTCCAACCAGTCGTGATTCTCGCTCTTCCACAGCATACCAGGAGGTGAAAATAGCATACCCCAGTATATCAGGGCATTCTCTAGACTAAGGGCTTTTTGGTCACCTTCGCGGCCAGCCACAAATGTATACTTGTATACCCTCTTAAACAGTACGGGGTTTGTCGAGAGTGCAGATGAAAGGCGTTGGATGTGAGAGGCGTGTTCCTTATGTGTTGTGCCGGCACTGAAATGCATCATTAGCTCCATTCTATTGATGAATGCACTATTGGAACTGCCGGAGAGGGCTTTTCCAAAAAGCATCATGGTTTGGCTCGTACCCTGCTGTTTTCCATCCATCAACATAGCCGCGACGGGTGATTTCGCCTACGCTGGGGGCTTGGAGCAGTTCTAAGGCGACAAAAAGCTCAGCGTTCTCTAGACTAATGTTCAATTTGCTGCTCAAATATTCCATTGTCGATTCGAGTTCCATCTTGTCCTTCTCATCGTTTTTTGCATCTGCGAATCTGTAAGCCTCGCGTAAGCAGAACCCGGTTCAGCATGCATATATGTTTTACCTCGCAATGTGTCGAACTGAGCGTCGAGCTTGGACTCGGTTGGTGACGGCCCTTTGACCTCGTTTCCGGAAGAATAGAACCTAGTAATTCGAAGACGACTGTCAGCCTTTTCTTTCCTTTTTCAACTCATTACACCTTGGTGCCGTTCCTGAGCTAAAAGTAAATAGCAGCCGCTTGGCATGATTGGCTAGCCAACTTGGCCAAGGGTAAGATAATGCCAGCTGCGGCTTCAGAAATCCCTTTACCGTGAAAATTTCCCCTGATCCACACGAGCCTTCGCGCTTTCATGAGTCTTTTCGCCCTCAGTTGGCTTGGGGGAAGTCCAAAATGGAACAGCCTGGGAGGGCAAACGCCTCTTAACATCTTTCCATCCCATGACTCCAGCAGAAAGGGGGGGGTCAAGGCCGACTGAAGGATTGATAGGGCCCAAGACTTTGATGCCCTAGATTTCTCAACAACGGTCAAGAAGGTCGTGCTAGCGTAGGGAAGACGGTTGGCAAAGCCTCGACAGAGTCCATATGATGCCGTATCAGTGGCAACTGTAGGTCAAGGCATGGGCGCCAACTCTGAAAACCGAAATTGGAAACTGCTGGCGGGATGGAAGAGAGGAAATCAAGACGGCAAGATCTGCCCTGGACATTTGTTTCAAAACCATCGGCGTCACTCGGCCGTACTATGTCGTGTGTCGGCAGTGACGGGCTGCGTTGGCTAGTGGGACCCCCACTGATAACATTGAACCCACATCAACATTGAATGGAAGGTTCTGTCCCGGCTGACGATTGACGCGCCGCACATGCGGACGGGACATTGTGCGGCATGGTCCGAGAGGGTCATGGCGGACCGGCCAAGAGCAAAGTTTAATCAAATCATTGAGAGTACGAGGCGGACAGGCAGGAGACTTCAGAACGATGACTTGGGAGGGAAGGTAACGCGGGGAGGCTGGGCAGCCTGGGGTAGCTCGACGAGGGTCGGCGGGTTGGAAGCATGCAAAGAGATGGTGCTCACTCACGCATCAACGGCCTCGTTGATCTTGTAGCCAGTCGATTTCAAAAACTGCACCACAAGCACACTCATTAGCTCAAGCTTTATCAAATGTCTCACGGAGTTGCGGCATGAAGCAGCGGCACCCAGAAGCGGGTACAGATGCAGATGCATCCAGGCAAAATCCCCGTAATAATACAACCTCCAACAAAGGCACATAGCAATCGGGCCGGGGAAGGGGCGAGGGGCAAGTGAGAAGGCGAGGTGAGCTTGACCGTGAGCAGCCCAATTTCGAGCTTGGTCACCGTCGTACCTTGGTAGCCTGCCGCTCCGTAGCGCCTGTGAGAGACAGGAACTGGGCAGTCAGGACTTTCTGCTGTGCCGACGACGGGGGCGGCATCTCGTTTGGAGTTTAGGACGAAGCGTCACCACGCACCGGCAGACCAGTGTAGCACAGCGTGGGCCGGCTGGGAGTTGCAAGTAGCCAGCGAGCGAAGGCAGCAGGGTGTAAGGCGGGTGTCGGGGTCGGAGTCGGTGGCCGTGGATGTCGACGATGGAGAATTGCAGCCTCGCGTGAGCCTTGAGGGCGATCTCTGGACAAAGAAAGACTGGGGCGTGGCCAAGCTCAAGCACGCCGTGCGCTGCTTGGCAATGCGTATACGCTCCGGGCCGGCTCCGAATTCGGTCCGTGGGTGGCGGTCAAGTAGAGCAACGAGTAGCTCAGCTGTTCACCTAGCAGACTGCGTCGACTCGCGCAGACATTACTTGGAGGAAGAGAGGAGCGCAGAGGAGCATTGGAGGGAGGATGGAGAGCTCAGTCTGGCGAGCGAGGCTGCGAGCGGCGTGTAATGCGATGGTGGGGTCAACAAGTCGAATGTGAACTGATGCCAGGCGCCTGTGGGCTGTTGTCTGTCGTGTGTGTGGCTGTGGCTGAAGAGGCCGCAACATTGAAGAGGCACAAGCCCGGTACTAGCAGATATACAGTGCTGGAAGCGGTGGACTGTGGAGGGGTGGTTCGTCACTGTGCTGCGTACCGACCAGATCTGGTCTGGTAGTTACTTGACACCAGCACGGGCAGAAGTGGTAGGGCTCAGCGCTGAAGCTGTGTGGCAACAGCAGCGTCAAGTGGCAGAACAGCACTGCACTCAAGCTCCACACTGCGCGGCCTGCCGGGGGCTGACAAGTCGACATCAGCCGTTGACTCAACTGCAAAATAAACGCGGTCTGGTCCAACTCGACGCGTCCATGTCCAGTCAACCCGGTCCAGTCCCACCAGACCACACCAGACACTTTCGCCTCAGTTGCACCAAATCCTCGTGGTGCAGCATTCTAGTCTGGCACCAAATGGCCCTCGTTTCCCTTCCTTGGTGCGATACATCACCGGCGCATATACGGCCACTACGCCGTTATGGAATCTTCGCAGTCTGCAGACGATGAGAGATATTCAATCGATCCGTCAGAGCCGCTCAAGGATGTCATCGTGTGTTGCACAAGCATTCCTCCAGACCAAAGAGTAGGTTTGATTTGTTGTCTCAACGCCAGGCCCGACAGCACTGCTGACACTCTTGTTTTTCGCCCGACATATAGACAGACATTGCCCAAAAGGTCTCTGAGCTTGGTGGCATTCACAAATACGATCTCACCCCAGACGTGACCCATCTCATCGTCGGCGACTATGACACGCCAAAGTACCGCCATGTTGCTCGCGAGCGACCCGACATCAAAGCCATGGATTCCATGTGGATAGAAGCCGTGACAGAACTATGGAAAAGAGACGAGGAGATTGACTTCATGGCGCTGGAAAGGGAACACCGGCTGAAAGCGCTGGAGAAATGCGGCACAGACACGGCCTCGCCGCACGGGGGAGCAGCGACTGGTCGCCAATCACTGCTGATATGCTTGACGGGTTTCGGAGACCAGCGCGACGAAATTGCCGCCAAGATCACAGCCAATGGCGGACAATATACCGCCGACTTGACCAGAAGATGTACTCATCTTGTGGTCAGCAAGCCCGAAGGCAAGAAGTTCACCGCAGCCAAGTCTTGGGGGGTCTACACGGTCACCCTCAGTTGGTTGGACCAAAGCATACAGCGTGGACTCATTCTGGAGGAGGCCAAGTTCGATCCGTTGCTCCCAGTCGAGGAGCAAGGCGTCGGTGCTTGGAAGAAGGAGGACCCGAGGCGCGCATCACTTGGCAAAAGATCTAGGTCGGCTTCGTCAAACACGAATGGTACCGCCGAGAGAGGGGCGAGGAAGCTGCGCAAAACCGCCAGCATGAAACTCAACTCCCAAAGGAACAATCTCTGGGGCGACATCCTGGGCCGCTCCGGCTCAAGAGAGTACTCGTTTGGTAACGAGCAAACCGATTCGGAGCAACAGCCACGCCAGCAAGCAACTCCCGAACCTACTATTCAACAGCCTCACCAGCCTCACCAGCACCCATCCCAGCAGAACAATGGTGTGTTTGCAAACTGTGTATTCGCCATCGACGGATTCAGCGAGAAGCGGCAAACCGTACTCGAAGATACCATCGCCACGCTGGGGGGTTCCGTGGCTTCGTCACTTCGAGAGGCGGCAACCCATCGCCCGACGGAGCACTCACACCGTTTTCTTGTCGTGCCTCAAACATCACAGCCCGAGTCGCATCCCAACGTACCCTATGACAATATAGAGATTGTTACCGAGTTCTACATTGAAAGATGCTTGCATAACAAGCAATTCTTCTCTCCAGGCGAACACGTACTGGGCCGGCCGTTCCCCCTATTCCCGATACCTTCGTTCTCGGGCCTCGTCGTATGCAGCGCAGCCTTTACAGGATTGGAACTAAACCAAGTTGCGCGAAGCATTACTCAACTAGGAGCCAAGTTCGAAGAGGAGTTTAGGCGGACAACCAACGTTTTGGTGTGCAGGTCATTGAAGGCAATGCGCAAAGAGAAGCTGAAGTTTGCGCTAGAGTGGGGGGTACCCGTTGTGTCGGTAGATTGGTTGTGGGAATGCATCTCGACTGGGTTCAAGGTGCCGCCGAGCCTCTACATCTTTTCAGAGATTCGAGACCGATATTCAGCTCAGACGGCTCCGGCTCCAACAGAAATCAAACGTCAGTCACAGCCTCCAAAGCCAAAGGGCAACGACGCTACACAATCACCCCCTGCCACCAGGACTGTCACCACCAGGCCAACTTCATGCAGACCAAAGATCATGGGTGGGTTCGATGCCAGTGCCTTTGAGCAAGACTCGGATGAAAAGCAGAGCACTGCCTGCCAAATCTCAGCCCCTGTCAGGGGTATACCTCGACTCGAGTCCATCACTTCAGCAGACTTCTTCACCGCACGAAGCCAAGCCGTCGACATGTCCGCCAAGGACCACGATGCACCATTAACGGAAGTATCTTGTGCGAGACTCAACAAGTCTCCATCACCAACAAAGCACACAGTCCCTATACCTCGTACGAAATCGGACCCATACCCAAGTGATTTCACCGAGAAACCAAGCATATCAGCCCGCAGGCCATCTGCTCCGGGCCCAGACGACCCTTTACATCGACGAGATAGTCACGAAACTACCGCACATCAAGATCAGGAACGAGCAGCAAAACAGCAAGCCCGAGCCGCCGAGCGACAGGCACTCTCAACCAAACTATCCAGCCTCATCGACTCAGCGGCCGTCCCATCCCCCGTCGATGGCAACTGCCATGCCCAAGGCCCTCCTCGCCCTCGCCGTCGTCAGCTCCTCGGCCGCGCCATCAGCAATGCCTCCAACGGAAGCAGCGCAGCGAGCATAGACGGCAGCGGACCGCCCCCTCGCCAACTAACAGATAGTCTGAAGGCCGCCGTCGCCGCCGTCGCCGACGACGACGACGACATGGACAAACAAGACACCCAGCCCCCCTCTACACAGTTGCAGTATGCGGATCCAGAAGCACAGCAGGTCAAGG